CGCGGCAGCGGCGGCGGCGGTAAGATGGCTGCCCACGGGGGCTCCGCGGCGTCCTCGGCGCTGAAGGGGTTAATTCAGCAGTTCACCGCCATCACCGGTAAGAGACGCGGTTACCGGAAGGTGGAGAGTGGGGTCTGGAGCGGGCGGCAGGTCTGCCCCGGGCTGCCCCGTACCTCCCTGCAGTCCTCCCTCGGGCTTTCCCCACCGCTCCCGTCCTCTCTCCCGAGGAAGAGGCGACGACGGCGTCGGGTCTCCGGGTCCAGGCGGCAGACGGCCTCCCCCTCCCCCCACGCACCCCACACCCTGGTTCTCGGTCTCCTCGTCGTGTGGAGGGAGGCTCCCCACCCCCTGTCAGCCCAGACCCGGAGAAGGGTCCAGGGACCTGGGGGCGGTAGAGGTGGGGGGCCGCGCCCGGGCCACCGCCCTCCTCCTTCTTCATCCTCCTCTCTTTTCGGTGCATCCATGGGGTGCAGTGCATCCCCTTACCTCTTGCCTTCCTGCCTCGGCCAGGTCATTCTCCCCCTGTCCCTGGCCTGCCCTGCCCTTCTCGGGGCCCCTCGGAACCATCGCTCGTGGCCCTGGAGTGTGTGGGGCCTCCGGTCTTAACGGCGACGCCGGTGGTGTCGGCGGCGCCTTCCCCGATCCCGCGGGATAGGCCGCCCGAGAGGGAGGGGGGCTGAGGAGTGCCTTCAAGACTGAGGTTTTCAGAGAAGAATGAGGGGGACCCCCCGCCCCCCCAACTTAATAGGGAAGGCCCGGTGGAATCCGGGGTGGCGTTTCCCACCTCCCCATAATGAAACCGAGACTGAGACCATGGCGCCGGGGCCTCCTGCTGATAAAATAGGGATGGCGGCAGAAACTTCTTCGAGGGAAAATCAGTTTCTGGATGTCAGTCATCCATCCCCCACAGTCTCGGCTTCTCTTTTCCTCTGGGCCCTGGCCAAGGGCACACGCCGAGCCTCTCACCGCCCGGAGGAAAGGCCCTCGGCCATTCTGTGCATTCTCGAGGGCTTGTGTGTCTGATGGTGCTGAACTTTTTTTTGCATGAGTTATTAGAGGGCGGAGCACATGATGAAGTTCTCCGTGGAGTGATTTGAGGGACGCGTTCCTCGTGCGGCGAGTGTGGTTTTGCCGTTCGAGTTGGTCGTTTTGGAAGGAGGTCAGAATATTCGTTCTTCTTCCTTAGGAGATCTGCCCTTTATCTGGTCATTTCTTAGAGGCAGAGAATGGCTCCGCTGTTAATGAACGGAGTGTTTGAGAGGTGCAAGGTCTGGTTAAGTAAGATTTTACGTTGTTTTAAGTCCTGCAGGTTGCATGCAAGTTGCTGTTTTACAATTAAAGCTGGTTTTATTTTGTTGCTCTGCAATAGTAGCTAGGTGTTTGGTGCATTAGCCTGTGGGTAGGAAACATCACGCCAGAGTTGGCAAAGTAAAATTTGTAATTAAACTGGGATGAAGAGTGGGATAACTTTACTTAATATTTAAAAACTTTTGTGATTAAAGATGTAATGGATTTCCCAATGGTTAAGCAGATCATTGTTATTGAGAAAATTATTGTGTATATAAGTTAATACAAATTGTTGATTATGTTTATATAGAAAAACCTTTGTAGTGAATCAGATATTGAAGATTATTAATCTTTTATTCAGGTTTTTTAGAGATGGTTTAATATGCTACCTGTTTAATTTCAGTTTTTATGCTATCCTACCACCCCTTAAGGAATTCAGATTGTTTTAACCTCACATTATTTCTTCTAATGCAACATTTTTGTTAGATATAGACAAAACCTAGAGTGTGGTGAGATGCAGTGACTCACTTAATTGCTTTAATTCTGTTTCTGTCTGCTATCTATATGACTTATTTCTTGGTCACAAGCTTTTTTTTTTTTTTGGTCACAAGCTTTTCTATTTCTGAATCAAGTTGGAGACCTTCAGTAGACTATGGTACAGAAGGCAAAAGGGAAAATACCTTAGATTGTTCTTAATGTATTATGAATTTCTATTAAGTTTTGGGGATTTTTAAACTTTTTTTTTTACAAATAGTGATGAACTATTAGAAACCTGATTGACTCCATTAGTCTTTTTCATGTATCTTAATAAAATTTGGGGTTCTGACCACCTATATTTTTAAATTGTAGTATTTATGGTAAAAGAATATTTGATATTTATTCATTGCTGGATGAATTAAACTGACCTTAAGAGCTTATGCTCTGATTTCAAAAAGATTTTACTTATCTGGAAGCTCAGCATTCTGGTAAAAGCAATACATTTTAAAAAAGTGAGTCTTACCTTTTCTGTAGCATTTAGAAATATAATAGAAAGTTGAAAGAGTTTTCTTATTTTTCACTAAATAGAACATACCGTTCTGTATGATATGTGAGTATGAAGTAATGACTATGATTTAAAAAATTATTAAAAAGATGTCACAAGCCTTAACCGGTTTGGCTCAATGGATAGAGCGTCGGCCTGCGGACTGAATGGTCCCAGGTTCGATTCCAGTCAAGGGCATGTACCTTGGTTGCGGGCACATCCCCAGTGGTGGGTGTGCAGGAGGCAGCTGATCGATGTTTCTCTCTCATCAATGTTTCTAACTCTCTATCCCTCTCCCTTCCTCTCTGTAAAAAATCAATAAAATATATTTAAAAAAGAAAGATATCACAACATGAAATACTTTTGAAAAAGGAAAAACAAGTCCTCTCTCACAACAATATTTATTTTACATTTTATTTTCCAAATTTTGTTTACAGACTTTTATTATTTTTCTTATTTTTACATTGTGGGACATAGTATACATAATTTAGAATTCTGATTTTTTTTGTTTTTGTTTTTTTTTTTTTTAGTAGAATTCTGAAACTTTTAGTTAACATTACATTTTTTTAATTATCAAACTCTTTGGTGGTGTTTATCTCTCACCTGAGGATATTTTTTCCATTGATTTTTAGAGAGAGTGGAAGGGATGGGGAGAGACAGAGAGAGAAACATCAATAGGAGAGAAACAATGGATTGGTTGCCTCCTGCATGCGCAACCGAGATGCGTGCCTTGACCAGGAATCGAACCTGAGACCCTTCAGTCCAAGGATCTTTCAGTCCACTCTAACCACTGAGCAGCTTGCAAGGGCAGTGACCAAACTCTTTGATAAGCAAGTAGCCAAGGGAAATGATGGTCTTTGAATTAATCACATTGAAGTTACATAGAAAACCAGTCATGTTGCTTTATAGGCTACTACATTTTATAACTTGGTATTCCTCATACATGGCCTTGAATGACTGCTGACAATGCAATGTGCAGATCATGTATCATAGAAATGTACACTTGAAGCCTATGTGATTTTATTAACCAATGTCACTCCAATAGGAAGGGAGAGGGGAAGAGAGAGAGAGAAACATTGATGTGAGATTGGTTGCCTCCCATATGCACCCCGACCAGGGATCAAACTGGCAATCTGGGTATGAGCCCTGACCAGGAATTGAACCCAAGACCTTTTGGTACGGGATGATGCTCCAACCAACTAAGCCACACTCGCCAGGGCAATCAGGTTAATTCTTGAGATAAGGGATACACAGACTATAGGATAGGTAAAAATTAATAGGTAATCAGAAGGTAGACAATATGTGAGGGAAGAGAAAATACTCTGAGAAGACGAGTTTGTTACTATAGAATGCTAAAACTTTGTGCATAGTAGACATTTATGCACTTAATGAAAGTATAGAACCTCAGTTGTAAAAGAGACCTTAGTTTAATGTTTCTCTAAAGTTGTTGAATGAATATTTGTTACAGAAATTAGGAGCTGGTGTGTGTGGTATTTGGCTTTGTGGCCAATTTCCATTCGTAGTTTTTTCTACAATACATTTCTCTTGGGTATTAAAATGTGTTTAAGTTCTGTTTCAGGAAAGGTGGTTGCAAGTGTTCTAGATGTCAAAAGAAAACTCTTTGGGATTTTAAGAACTATTTCAAAAGGTGATAATGACGTTTGAACAGAAATTTTGGGAGGAACTTTTTTTTTGTTGAGTTGTGAATAGAATCTTACTAATAAATTAAGTATTTAGTGGTAGACTGCAGTGTGCCAGGCATTGTTCAGATCCAGCAGATAATGCCATGAGCAGGACAGAATGTTTGTCCTCAAAAAGCTTAAAGATTAACGGAAATACAGACACATACATCAGTATTGTAACATAGCGGGGAAATGGTAAGGTTCACAAAAGCGGGAGGTCAAGAAAGGCTTCTCAGAAGAAATAACTTCTTAGCTAAAACCTAGAGGAGAGCCCTGGGCTAGGTAGCTCAGTTGGTCAGAGCGTTGTCCCGATACACCAAGGTTGGGGGTTCTATCCCCGGTCAGGGCACATACAGGAATCAACCAATGAATACATGAATAAGTAGAACAACAAATCTCTCTCTCTCTCAAATTAATAAATAAAAATAAAAAAATAAAATAAAACCTAGAGAGGAGATATTCCTAGCAGGAGGGACATGTGCAGAAGCCTGGAGGAGATAGGGGCAGGCATCCTATCTAATAAAAGAGAAACATGGTAATTAGCGTACGACCGCTACCCTTCCCATTGGCTAATCAGGGCGATATGCAAATTAACTGCCAGCCAAGATGGCGGTTAACCGCCAACAAAGATGGC